AGGCCAATTAGTCATCATATATTATCTTATTTTTGGAGTAGTAAAATGCCTACTATATGGATTAAGATTAAGTTGGATAAAGATGGTAGATTGAACGCCATATGTGAGTTATCATTCTTTCATTTGAAGATGTACAGACTTTAGTTTGTCCCCATAGTGCGCCTGAACTCTTATAACAGTTCTTTCTTCCACTATTGAATCCTCTCACTCGGATTGTGCGGGAAAAATATGGAGGATAGGAAGAGCCAAATAGATTCATAGTTGGCCAATTTGAAACTTTGAATGGGTTTTTTTTTTTTTTTTTTTTTTTTGGGGGGGGGGGGATGGATGGAAAAGAGAATATTTGATTGAAAAAGTGGGGGTAAAAAAAAAAAAACGTGATCATGTATTCAAGTAAGAGGATAAAGAAGACAAATTCAGAAGGGGTATAGAAAGATTAGTAAAGAACAGGGAGTAAATGAAGAGGGGGTTAAGGGCACTTTATTAACTTAAATTTTCACCAAGCTTAGGGTTATTGACCTCATTTTTTTCGGCTAAAGTTTCAGAACCTAAAAAGTTATTGTCTGTTTTACTCTGCAATAATTATTTTCCACTACAAAATAAAAGTTACATCCCATATTTAACATTTATTATGCAACTTTATTTACTCCACTTTCCTCTTACCCTCTTCTCCCTATCCTGAGTTTTGAACATTTCTTTTGATCCATCATACAGAACAGTAATTCTAAATCTTTGTTAATTTATCAACAAGATGACCAACTGACTTCTACATCTAAAACCAAACCTACATGAATGTTCTCTCATTAATCTCCTCTTTGTTTTTCTCTTATCTCCTTACCTAATCCGTCATAAACTAGTAATGCTTTCAACTAAGGCTGCAATTTCCTGACCAACATAATATATTATATATAGTATTGGAAAATGTTGTTTGGATTATAAGTTTTAAGGGGTGAAACTTTGTGTTTAATGGGTTGAAAATTTTGTAAGTATGTACTATCTGTGATAATTTTAAAAACTTGGTCTATTGATTTATTTTATTAGCTGAATTTTTATGGATTTACTTTGGTGCTGAGTTTGAGGTATAGTTTGGGAATGGATGAGTGAATTGTGGAAAAGAGAAAAGAGGAGGCTGAAAAAAAAGTACTTCGTACGAAATAACAATTTTTTTTTTGGTGTTTGATTTTGTGGATCTGCTTTGGTGCTGAGTTTGAGCTTTAGTTTGGGAATGGACGAGTGAATTGTGAAAAAGAGAAAAGAGGCTGGAAATAAGTACTTCGTATGAAATAACTTTTTTTTTTTTGGTGTTTGAGTGAATTTAAATTCCTTTCCTTTTATGATGTGAACCGTTGCTGCTATTTGGGTAAATAGCAGTTCCATTTGTATGGTAGAGTCCCGGGCCTATGTGTTTCCATAATTATCGGTATTGATTTGTCTTCCTGGGACTATATTTGGTAACTCTATAGTACATGCCATGGAATTTTCCAAAATGACAGCTATGTTAACCCTGGGTGTATGAGTCTGGGGAACTATGAAAAATTGACTTCTATAGTCAAGTAAAATTTATCGCTAGAATTTATTATCCTCAGTCTGTTACATGGAACTACATTAATATTTAGCTGATAGGTTTATGCTAGTTGGATAGGTTAATGCTAATTGAATAGGTTTATGCTAGTTATCTAGTATGTTACCGTGTTTATTCTGCTGATTGTATCTTTGGCATTCTACTCAACAGCTTTGCTAATGTTCTACATCTTTATATTTCTGTATGTTTCAGGTTGTCAATTTTCCGTTCCCAACCTCTCCTGATGCCGCTGCATTAGTGAAAGCAGAGAAATGCTTAAAGGCTCTTGAAGCACTTGATAGTGATGGACGCTTGACACCTTTGGGCAAGACAATGGCTCATTTTCCCTTGAGCCCACGGCATGCGAGGTTGCTCCTCCTTGCAATACAGATCACAAAAAAGGAGAAAAGTGGTGTACGGCCAAATCTAGTTCTAAGTTATGCAGTGGCTGTAGCTGCTGCCATGAGCTCGCCAAATCCTTTTCCTTTTCAGTTTGATGGAAATCAAAAAAATTCTGAGGGAACGGAGATGGAAGATGGTTCTGGTTCTGTCAGCCAGAAAAATGGAGACCAGGATACCAAGCTATCACGGAAACAAATGAAAAAAACCATTAAGCTTTCTCGTGCAAAATTCTCTAACCTTAAGAGTGATGCTTTAACTGTAGCTTATGCATTGCAGTGTTTTGAGCAATCTAAGGATCCATCTCAGTTTTGCACCGAAAACACACTACACCTAAAAACTATGGTAGAAATGTCCAAGCTGAGAAAGCAACTATTACAATTAGTCTTCAAACAGAGATATTGTGATGTGGAGCAAGACTTCTCATGGCCTCATGGAACCATTAAAGATGTGGAAGATGATTGGAGTGTCTCTTCTGATAAGATTCCCCTCTCAGAAAATGAGGAGAACATCTTATGCCAAGCTATATGTGCTGGATGGGCAGATAGGGTTGCCAAGCGTATTAGAGGAGCCAGTGTACTGTCATCTGGAGATAGAAGAATCAATGCTAATCGGTATCAGGCACCCTTGGTTAAAGAAACAGTGTTTCTTTATCGCTCCTCTTCTGTCTCTAAAGCAGCTCCAGAATTTTTGGTGTATAAAGATATTGTTTGTACGAAAAGACCATTCATTCAAGAAGCAACAAGTGTGAATTCAGAGTGGCTAGTGAAACATGCCGGTTCCTTGTGCACATATTCAGCACCTTTGGCAGATCCAAAACCTTTTTATGATCCTCTCCATGATCAAGTATTTTGTTATGTTACCCCATATTTTGGTCCTTATTTATGGGAACTCCCACGAAACAAGGTGCCAATCAAAGATACTCAACAGCGTATAACTGTCTTTGCTTATGCTTTGCTTGATGGTCAAGTCTTACCATGCCTAAAACCCTACAAGTGTTACATGGCAATCCAACCAATCAACATCTTGAAGCCAGAAGCATTGGGTCAAAAACGGGTGGGCAATCTTATAAGCAAGTTGACTGGGTTGAGAGCAATTGATAGCTGTGCCAAGCTAAAAGCAGCATGGAATGAAGATCCTCAGCTGTTGTATTCAGAAATACTGGACTGGTTTCAGAAGGAATTCCATAGTCAGTTTAAAATTTTATGGGAAAAGATGCTCCAAGAAGCTCTTTCTGTAACTCAAGATCGCTTTCCTGGCCGAGCTAAAAAAAGAAAATGCAGAGTGAAAGATTGATTTTCAGATTTATAGATTATGCCTTTTCTTTTCTTCACATGGATACACAGCATCATTTATCTATTTCACTTACTCATGGTAAATACTGAAACTTTTTCACTTCTTCTTTGGTGATCTTACTTTTTGTTTGCAGTCTCATCAAATTATTCTGTTTTTTATATGAATATTTTAATTGACGGCTTTGAAGTTTAACTGCACAGGTATATGACTTAGAGGGAATCTAGTTGTCTGATTTTTCTAACACAAGTACACAACGTAGCTGTGGCTCAGTGATCGTTTCAAACTGGAATCAACTACTTGAGAAGTTGTTGAATCAATTCTGCATATGGCTAGCTTGCAGCTTATTACAGGATGTGTTCTGCCATTTTTGGTTATCTAGTATGCTAATTATTAGAGCTTTGTGAAATGTAATTTATTGTCAGACATGAGTCCTTGATTTGGATAACAAAATATAGCATTAGTTTGAGCTTTTATTGATGATTTTGCATTTGATTTTACATTACTATTTTTCAATCTCATGCAATGTCTGCATTTTTTACTTCTAAACTTTTAAAATCAGATAAAATTATTTACATTATTCTACACCCTTTAAAAGCGCAAACTTCTGCTACTGTTCTCAGGAACAGTAAAAGGAACATTTTGCCCGCTCCTCTTGTTGTCTGCAGGGAAATGGCCTACAGTGTACTTAACCTTATGGTTGCCAGCTACTCGTATTTCACTGTCTCCTCCTTTCCTGCTTTACCATTTTCTTCTTCTATCCTACCTTTCTGGACATTTTTCTCTCTCAATGGTACTCAGTTCATCTCTCCCATCCATTTACAGTAATTTGCTCTTTGATTTTCAGTTTGATTTACGTTTTTGAGGTATTTATCGATTCATTTTCAGGCTCTGAACAAAGATACTAAGGCTGTACCTTCATCAAAGCAGGGTAAACCTGGTGGTGAAAGCAGAAGAAGGTTAATTATTTGAAAATTCATATCTTAAATTTTCTGTTATATAATATATTTTTTTGAATTCAAGATTCATTTATGTTGCTATATTTCTTGTTTGAGTTTTGAATCAATTTAATGTTGTTATTGGTCTACAACCGTAAGAAGAAGGTAAGTAGCTATAACCAATTTAAACTGTGAACTTAGAGAGGAAATCAGTAACTATGCCATGAATGGGACAATATGTTATTGTTGTGAATGGAGGAAAGGATGAAGTTATATGTTCTCTGCTAAGATTGAGTGCCTGGGGTGAAAATTTTGAGATATATGTAAAAAAAAACTACTGCTGCTAACAAGAAATAAGACAATAGCAAACAAAGCAAAAGAAATCTAAATGAGGGAAGGAGGCTGATTGATTAATAAAGGCGGAAACTTTCTTACAATAATGGCTTGAGGCCACTACTCTCTCAAAGTTTCTTCAGATCACTAATCTCTTGATTCTAATACATCCAACAAGCTACCTAAGCCATGCCCTTCTACCCCTTTTTATATGTACAAGCAGCTAAAAAGACAACAGACAAAAGCTATCAAAGATATGCCCACCCCTCCCGCAATACATCAGTCAAATGTTGCTGCTGCACACTGAAATTGATGCTGCTTCACTACCTCTTCTCTTAACAGCTCCTTGCACCCTTTCTTGACCCTCCTACCATATGTTATGATGCCATGTGGCCGAGTCTCTGGATTCATAGCAATAAACCCAAATATATACAGAAAATATGAGTTGAAACCTTTTTTTTCTTTTCTTTTTTTTTCTTTTTTTTTTTTTTGTATTTTGTGTGTATTTATGTGTGTGTGTGTGTGGTATGGTCTTCCAATTCTTCAAACATACGGTTTCTCTTCATGTGAATAAACTATACCAATTGTGGGTATGAGTTTAACATATATGTTATGTTTATACTTTATCATTTTTTAATATATGATTCAATTCAAAAGTCTTTAAAAGAAAAAAATACTGTTTGGCTACTTTAAATTTCTGGATGTTGCGGAATAGTTTGAGTTTTCCATTTTATCTTATGTAGTAGACTAATTTATGCTTTTCAAGGAAGAGAAGTTGTGAGCTGTCATGCCGTTGGTGTAATTCAATTAAATGTTTAACAAGTACTGTTATTGGCTTTCTTTTGTATATAATTGCTCTCTTTTCTCCTTCAGTGCAAAACTGGGCATTCGTGCAGCTGTCATGGCTCTATTCCCTGTGAGAACTCCAATTCAATCTATTCCTGATTGGATCATGCGTGTAATTATTATGTTTCTGAAGCAAACAAAGAGGTATGCTCGTATTACTCAATTTGAAAAATCATTTAGTCTGGCTGAATTTACCATTATTATGTTTTTGCTAATAGAATTTGCATAACTTGTAGGGAACATTCAAAAATGAAAAGAAGTTTCTTGACATCAAAGCGAAGGGGACATTATCTAGGAGCAGCATGCTGGTATAGCGAGTTGAGTGTTGGCTTGCATTCATGTATTAGTCATTAACCTACTCAGGCAATGTAATTTCCTTCGCTTCTGCAGCTGTTTGGGTATGAAATATGTCAAATACTGAACAAGTTGATTGTCACTCCATATGCCCTGGCCTGCCCTGAACAACAACCTGAGGGATGAAAGGCACCTTACTGCCTTACCAGGCTGTGCTGGGTTGGCCTTGGATCTTTTGCAGTTAGAAAAAAACATTGTATGTACCACACTACCACTGTTACAGACTAAACGTTGTATGTTTCAAATAAGTATTAAAAATCTTGTTACATTTTAATCAGATACAGTGCTTCCGTTTACTTATGATTATAATTGGAAGAGTGAAACTGATGTTTCACGTTGGTTAGTTTTGGTATCTTCATAAGTTATGGTTTGATTCGATCAATTACTTCTCTGTTTTGGGTGACAATTTATGGTTCAAAAGGTGTGGTTGGCTTGGATTCTGATTGATGAGATGATGAAATTGCGCTTTTGCAGGATTATGGAATTTGAGATTGCTCTAAAGCTGGATCCCAAGAAAGCAAGAACAAGGAGCTCCAAGATTCACATCAGCACATAGGTAGGCAATCTACCCAATTTTTAGTTTCTGGGGCTAGGGGAAATTTCCTCATGGGATCATGACATTTTTGGCAGAGAGAGCATACTATTGAAACTAAACACTGTTTTCCAAGGATTTGACTCCATAACCATGACTCCATGGAGACTGAGTGTGTGCTCCTAGGCCATGCATCGGTTCCATATATATCCAAAAAATTCAACGATATTATGGAATAATTGTCTTGATCTTTGCATTAAACAAAGGAGAGCTAGAATTTCCAAACTTTTTATTTTTTTATTTTTTTTGGAATAGATTCCCAAACATAATTGATCTAAAGTTTGGAAACAATTACACAAGGTTGCAGTTAATTATGTGAATACTATGATGAAGACACTAGTGATAAACCTTTTCAATTGAGCAAGAAGAAAATCACATTGCTCTCTTTGTTGATAGTTTGATACACATGCTGCCATGCAGTCTTTCGAAGCTAATGTAATAGTTTGGAGGAAGGAGGCCCAACTAATCAATGTAACATGTTATTCATTACGAGTACAGAAGTTAGTAATACTTCCTCTGGTTTTTTTTGGTTTTTTTTTTTTTTTTTTTAAATCGTTGTGTTTGAAACTTTACATTATTCACACATTGTCTTTTCGTAGTATTATATTGTACTTAGGGGTCGTTTGGTAAATTTGTTTGGTTAAAAATGGAGGAAGTAAATTCCCATAGGAATTGTAACTTACCAAAGGGGGGTTGGGTAAGTTAATTCCCATGTTTTAAGGGAAGTCAAAATTCCCATGAATTGGCATTGCCCCCATTTTTACTTTTTTGTGTCAACTAAACAAGAAGTCCAAAATGAAATTCATGGGAATTTTGAATGCCCACAAGATATTAAGCCAACCAAACAACACCTTAGTTTTTTTTGGTGCAAAGTATTATTTTGTACGTGGTTCCTCCTTCGTAGTAGGTATTGTAATGTGTGTAGTTTGACTCGTATATCTAGCAAACCCATTTGCAACCTACAACCTTCATTTCTAGTTGTAACTCTTCCATTATATAGATGCTTGTTTCATCTTTTTTAAATTTATTTTATCAAGTATTTTAGAATTAATAGGTCTAGTTTAGTTCACCTTATTTTTGCTGATTTGAACTTATTATTTTAGTCTAATTGTCCTCTGAAGCACCAATTTCTTTTTGCTTTTCTCCATACTGCATTAATCTTTTATGACAGAATAAACGTCCAATGCTCAACACTAATATATACGAGTTCACATAGAAAATCTATCACTATTCACTTAATTCCTTATATGGTAAGGACACTAAGGCCCTGTTTAGTTGTTTATATTTGCTTATCTGAATTTATCTTATCTGGTCTGGTCTGAAATGGTGTGATCTGAACTGATTGTCTAATTTTACCAAACTTTGACCTTAATTGTACGATAATCTGTAAAGAAAAAATATATCAAGTGGGATCTTGTTAGATTTGTAATAATGTGTATTTCATTAACATGTAATTTTCATAATTTTGTCATTACGAAATTAAAGATATTTAGCGATAAAAAACTGCATATAAAACGATGATCTGATCAGAACTTATTATTTTTACCTGATCTGATCTGAACTTATTTTTTCTGAAATAAGTAAAAATAAGGTGAACTAAACAGCATCTAAGGACTAGGGGAATTTGCAAGTTATTGATGAATATATTTGTGGGATGGATTTAATTTTGTTGAGTTTCGTTACATATTATGTTGCCAACCTGGAGGACGATGTTCTATAAAGCCACAAACGGAGGCATTACTGTGTCATCGACATTATTTCCAACAATTAGTTCATTAAACTCAGTTACTCACATTACACTGTTGAAATCATCCAAATATTCTAATTCATTTCCTCATCATCAGTGTTCAAGTTAAAGGCATTTGTTTAGTTTTTAATTTTGCAAATGAAAAATCTTTTAATGGCACTTCACATCGTGAGACTCAAAATTTTGAGTTCAAGTCACTGGCATTTGGTTAGTTTTGAAGTCAAGGCCAGACCTCTAGAAGACTTATTAGACTTCCACCAAAATCTAGCTAAGAGGCGATTAATACGGTCAGCAATAGTTTCAGGAGGCCTAAAAACTGATAACACATGATTTAAAGAAGCTATGACCACCGTATTAATAAGAACTAATTTAGCTGCTGCCGACAAATGACGAGAGCTAAACGCAGACAACTTTTGCATCACTTTATCGACCAATGGCTGAAACTGGTGACACTTGGCTCGACCCAAATCCACCGGGAGACCCAAGTAAGTTCTAAGCGAAGACTTAGCTTGCATTTTCAAAGCAGAACTTAAGAAGTCACGGTAATCTTGTGGAGTATTCGAGCTAAACTTAACGAAAGATTTTGAGCATTAACCATCTGACCAGAAACAGTACAAAAACGGTCAATCACTCCCAAGAGCTGCGAACAAGCATCAGGTGTCACCTGGAAGAAAAGTAACGCATCATCTGCAAAGAACAAATGGGAGACTGAAGGAGCACGTCTAGAAATACGTAAACCTTGAAACAAACCAGCAGTCTCAGCCTTTCGCAGCATAATCGAAAACACTTCCATACATAGAACAAATAAATAAGGAGATAAGGGATCCCCTTGACGTAAACCACAAGCCGGCCGAAGGACAGAAGAGGGCTTGCCATTAATAAGGATCTGGTACGAGACCGTAGAAACACATTGTTTAATTAGCTGAATCCAATAAGGCGGAAACCCAAAAGCCTTAAGCACATTCCAAAGAAACTCCCAATTAACCCTATCCTAAGCTTTGTTCATATCTAATTTCAAAGCCGCAGAACATAATCTTGAAGTAGAGGAATTCATATATGTAAGGAGTTCATGCGCAATAAGACTATTATCTGACATCAAACGACCCGGCACAAAAGTCGATTGTGCCTCCGAAATCAAGAGAGGCATAATTTTCCGAAGGCGAGCCGTCATGCATTTAGCAATACATTTATACAAAACATTACACAAACCTATCGGCCGAAACTGGGAAGGAAATTCAGGATGGTCAATCTTCGGTAAAAGGACCAAAAAAGTACGGTTCCAGTCTTTGAGCATATAACCTCGGGCAAAAAAGTACTAGATAGCAGAAGTAACCTGATTACCAACCACCGACCAGTGCGATTTAAAGAAACCAGCAGAGAAACCATCCGGTCCCGGAGACTTATCATTACCAATATGGAAAATTGCATCCTTAATCTCAACTGTAGTAAATGGAATCATTAGTTGTTGTTGATGAAGGGAAGATAATGAGGGAATGTCTAGATCATCCCAAAACTCAGGAATAGAAGGCGCAGGAATTTTCTGACAATTATATAAGTCCGAAAAATGAGCAGTTAAAAGATTCTCAATCTCCAAAGTGTCAGAAATCCAAAGTCCTTGAGTATTCTTTAGGCTAAAAATTTTGTTCCTACGCCTACGCTCCTGAACCGAAGAGAAAAGCAGACGCGAACTAGTGTCTCCAAAAGCATCCCATCGTACTTTAGATCTCTGTTTCCAATATAGAAATAAAGTATGAGCTTGGGAAATTTTCTGATCACGAGTTTGAAGGAATTGAGAATCCCCAGAAGCAGAAACCAAAGACTGAGCCTGTATTCCCACAAAATCCTGCAAGTCTTTCCAGTCAATACCCCAAGATCTTTTATGTTCCACGCACCAACGCATCAATCTATGTCTAAGATGCACCAGTTTTTGGGATAAAACAAACATCTGGGAGCCTAAAAGATTATTATTCCAAACATCCTGAATTAGAGAAGAAACCTCACTAATCTCAAGACACCAATTCTCAATACGGTAAGGACTTTTCTTAGGAGAATGAGGAAGAGTTTCTTTCAACACAATGGCCGCATGATCCGAGAATAGGATGGGTTGATGAATAATCAAAGCATCCGGATGATTTTCTAACCAAGAACTAGAAGCATACCCTTTATCAAGTCTTTCAAAAGTAGGGTGTCTCAATTGGCCATTAGTCCAAGTAAAAGGAGTACCCATAAAAGGAATGTCAATGAGCCCAGAAGCTATTTTCCATTCTAAAAATTCAAAGCGACCAGGGATAGAAGGGGATCCTCCTAATTTATCAGATAAATACTCAACTTGGTTAAAAATCTCCTAACAAGACAGTATCAGGGTAATGGTTTAAAATTTGTGAAAGCTCATCCCAAACACCCGAACGTAAAGCAACATGAGGCGACCCATACACAAATACTACAAATCTTATTGCTTAACCAGGTACTACAACCTTACAAAAGATAATATGAGGTGAAACTAAAATAGGTACAACTGAAACCGGGGTGAACCAAAAAACTACCAAACCCCCACTAAGGCCTATAGCATCCAAACCACAAAAACCATCAAAAGCTAGAAAGGACAGCTTATCTACAACAACATTTACAGTTTTCCATTAAAAACATGAGATCGATCCCAAAAGAGCGGACTAACGAGGACACATATGGAACTTTAGGGGAGTCCGCAGATCCTAGACCCCTACAGTTCCAGGCTGCCACATTCATGGTGGCATTGGTGGCCCAGTCCGGGGAGCCACCTCGCCCTCAAAAGAAGAGGAGTCCGAAGAAGAATCAGAACCCATAGAAGCTCCCTTACGCTTCTTAAACGGCTAGAGACACGAGAAAATAGCAGAGTTTGCATCCCCAATGGTCAGAGGCGGAGTAACTGGTTCATGGGTAGCTGCCGAGCGTTTGCGAGAACAACCTTCTTTCACTCAAGACCATACTTTGTCTCCTTTCTTTGCTAATTTAAGACATAAAGGCTGCTTTCCCTTAACTTTCTCCACCTTGATTGAGGCAATCGAGCTGGAGAGGAGTGAACCGAAGGATGGGAAGAAATTGGAGGTGAGCAGTCCATGGGCACTGGGATATCCATATCCACCACCGGGGTAAACTCGGAGGATTCTTGGTTCAAAAATGGTTGCACATGTAAACCCTCAATCCTACCTGATGAAGAATCCGCTATATAACCAGAAGCATTCCCTCGATTTTCTGAAGCCATTGCTGAATTTTCTGGAATAGGGGACGGAATGACCAGAGGAGTGTGCGGAGTATCTTGAGAAGAGCCACCCATCCAGTGGCTACAACCCGCTCCATACGGGTCTGGGAACAACGGCCCTATCGGCGGGGGAGAGAAATGAATCCCGGGCGGAATATTAGACTTAGGAAAATTCCGGCCATATCTAGCATAAGGATCCGATTGAACAAAACCCGAAGAAAAACCTTGAATCGGATCACCTGAAGAAAAACCTTGAATCGGATCACCCACCGGAGCATACTGACGAAGAAGTATACTATCCAATTCACCTAATTGAGAAGTCGAATCATGCTGTTGTTGTTGCGCATTTGTAAACCGTGGGTCCATATTGATAGGCCCAGAATTAAGTCCAACATCACACATAGCTGGATCCACTTGATTAATTGGGCTGAATAAGTGAGGCAGCCCAGTTTGTGAAAGGATAGGATATTGGGTCACAATAGTAGAACTATTAATAAACACGTGATGCTGCTGTCCAACTGAAGAAGAATTTGAAGATGAGACAGATTCAAAAGCACTTGATGTCTTGTTAATCGCAGAATCATGAGGTGTCATAATTTCATTAACATTAAACTGATGACCATGAAAAATTTGATGAGGCAACCTCACCGCTCCATGTGCAATTGGATGACTCTGACCCATGTGATCTAAGTGATTGCATTGAACTTGTCCATTAGCTAAAGGATTACCTTGAAAGGTGCCTTGAAATCCTTGTGCATGAGAGAAGGTAAATCTATGAGGAGCATGTGGAGCTTGATGACGTGGCAGGGGCACCTCTAAGGGAGGCTGTTCAGCCCGGAGAACACCTTGCTTCCTCTTCCACACCTCATCCTCCACCCCTCAAAAACCTCCAGGAGTGGGAT